ACAACTAGTCCATTCTCAGTTTATATTTCAATCGGAATATTATATGAATCATATAGGGCAGAATATTTTGCAGCTTATATTGATTATGGAGTAGGTATTTGCACAGCAAAACCTGGAGTATTTCCAAAAGAAATAGGAGAGGACCTAACCCCTATAGCAGGAAGAGACTTCTCTAAAAGGATTCTTATCCTTAAAAGAGGAATTAAACAAGCAGAAATCATGATTGACAGAGCCGGTGGTAATCCTTGGTATAAGGTAAAAACACCACCAATCTATTTTCATGATACAGGAGCAGATGTATTGTTAGGAAATAATTTCCTACAAACTTTCAAAAGATTTACTCAAGAAAATGAGACAAGAAGACTTATTTTTACAACTCTTTGTGAACATAAGATCATTGTCCAAAGGTTAAAAGAGGCATTTCATAGAAAAATGCCTATCACATTTCGCAGCAAGCGTGGTGATGAAGGAAAACTTCGACACCCAAAAATGAAGAATAAAAGAAAGTACGGAGCAACAATCCTTCAGTTAAGAATCGAAAGTCTAGGAGGCTACGAGGAGGAAAGAATAAAGTCAGAAACCATTCAATTCCTCAAGGCAAGTCTAGACGAGAAGTTACAACCAGAAGTAACTCTCGAAGAGCAAATCTCACTAGAAGATATCAAAAAAAAAATCCAGAGAAATTACAATGAAGATCCTTTAGCTTGGTGGGATAAAAATGAACTCAAAGCATCCTTAAAGGTTAAAGCAGGAAAAGAGCATGAATTTGTGAGATACAAGCCCATCCTTATGAATCAAGCAGATCGTGAGGATATGCAAATAATACTTAAGGAACACTTGGACCTTAAGTTAATTAAAGAAGGAGTTTCTCCATATAGCAGTCCTGGATTTCTTGTTCGAAACCATGGAGAAATAAAAAGAGGAAAAGCAAGGCTGGTTATTAATTACAAAGGTACTAATAACATCTTAGAATTTGATGGATATTACATCCCGAGCAGAGAACATTTGGTGAATTGTATCAAGAACGCCAAGGTATTTTCAAAGTTCGATTGTAAATCAGGATTCTACCAAATCAAGATAGAGGAAGAAAGTAAGAAGTTTACAGCTTTCTCTACACCACAAGGGCATTACGTATGGAATGTGATGCCAATGGGGTTAGCAAATGCACCCCAGATTTACCAAAGAAAGATGGATAATCTTTCTAAAGATTATTTTAGTTTTATGTTCGTATATAATCGCCTCAAAGAACATGAAAGAGCATCTCAAACACCTGGAAATATTTTCAGATGTTTGCCACAAGGAGGGATTGGTGCTTTCAGAAAAAAAGGCAGTAATCGCTACAAGATAAATTAAATTCCTTGGAATCGAGATTGATGAATCGGGAATCATTTTGCAAAACCATATTGTTGAAAAAATACAAGGATTCCCAGATGTCCTCAAAGATAAAAAAAACAATTACAAAGCTTTCTCGGAGTTATTAATTTTGCAGGAATGTTCATAAAAAATCTGGCACAATACCGAAAGGTTTTCGATTCACTCCTGAAGAAAGATGCAGATTTTAGATGGACAAATGAACACGAGGAAGGAATTAAACAGTTAAAGAAAGTTTGCCAAAAACTTCCAAAGCTGGCAATCCCAAATGACGAGGATGAGCTAGTTCTCTATACAGATGCTAGTGATCATTGGTGGGCAGCGGTTCTCACCAAAGAAACTCCGAATGGAGAAGTTCCATGTCGATATTGCAGTGGACTCTTTACAACTAGTGAAGCAAACCGATGGCATATTAACAAAAAAGAATTCTTTGCAGTCAGAAAGGCATTCAAAAAATGGCCTTTGTTTTTGTTATAAAAAAAGTTCACTTTAAAAATTGATAACTCAAGTGTTAAGGCTTTTCTGAAAAACAAAATTGAATCAAAACCAGAGAAGTCTAGATTATTACGATGGCAAGCTGAATGTCAATATTATGATTATGATATTGTCGTTATTAAATCTCATGAAAATATTCTTGCAGATTTCTTAACAAGAGATGGATGTATCTGAAGCAGATGCACTCCTCAAAAGGATAAGACACCTCCGCGAAAACATCGAGGAGGTGAAAAAAAGTTTTGGCCAGTTAAGGCTTAATGCCATAATAGCTGAACAAGTTCAAAAGGCCGACTTAGATAAGGTCGAATCAGCAATCAAAGGTACAAGGATGGCTAACACCTTATTATGGGATGCCTTCCAAGAACCTTTACGCAAAGCTGGATCACCATCGGTGAGCCATAAAGAATTTCTAGAGCAAGAGGTTTTAAAGAAAACTCAAAACGAGGACCAGGAACCATTATCTGGTGCAGCGGACGTTGCTTATGAAAGTATTTCTTCAGATTCTGGAGAAAAAAAGAAAGAGACACAAGACCAAAGGTCTAAAGTCTCGAGTCAACCCGACACCTCTAGGGTAAAAGAGGAATAAATCAACCTACGGCCACAGACAAGTCGAGAAAAGGTTGATACTAACAAAAACATTGATTCTCCTACTTCTTTTCAGGTTTACAATTCATTGATGGAGGACTTAATTACAAAAAGAAATATTAAGCCAGAAAAGTTTATTGTTGACGATACTGGTTTATGTCCCCGAGTTTGGGTACTGGAAGGAGCTCGACCAGACCCTGTAAGAAAATGGATGGACTTTGGTTCAATAGCTTCAATTTTTACTGAGGCGCTGAATTTTCCTGAGATTTCAGGATTACCCGAATGGATTACTAAAGCCATATATGAATCATGGTCTTATAATCCTCATCTGAAAAGAGAAGAAGTTTTGGAGCTAAAATTTATCTCTATTGCCCCAGAACCTGCAAGTGATTATGGAAGGCATGCCGCCTTTCATTTCATTAAGTTGCAATGCCCTAACAAAAAGGCGCTACTTCATATCGGTACTACTAAGGAAACATCTCTGTACACAGCAATGACGGAGGACGAGATTTTCACCCGACGAGCCTACGGAGTGTGGGTATGTCTTACCGAAATGGAAAAGGTAAAATATCCGTTTAAAATATATCAAAATTCACTAAACGGATCATTTTTACTTAATTCCTTGACGGGAAGCACCTCCAAGTTTGCAAACGACTTGTTCGAGAATAAAAAAAATTCTTATGGGAAAACAAGTTGGCAGCCACAAAGAATACACGAAGAAAGGCGTGTAACATGTTGCACGGTCTTAGATGGCACGAAAATATTTGTCCATGTTGTGCAATTCAAGAGAAACCACTGTTCGGAAATTATTTCCGATGAAACGAGAAAGACCCGGTCAGAAAAACAAACCGGAAAAAAAGGGAATTCCAAAAAACCGGAATTTCAAAAGTTCAAAAGAAGACGAGTCTGATTAAGATTTATCAGACATGGAGGCCCACCAGCAAATTAATGGCGGGACAAGGGAAAAGGAAAGATTCCTTCACCAAAGGCAAAGACAAGTTTTTCCGAGTCAGCTCCACATACACCATGTGACCGACAGAGAAAAGTGGGTTCAATAATTATTCAAACCGGACCCATCAACATGTGAAGACCACAAAGCATTTACCTACCGGTTGGTACAAGCAATAATAGAGGACTCCAAGACCTCTATAAATACAAGATTTGGAAGAAAAAGAAGGCATCGAACATCCTCTTCAGTTTCTTCATCAAAATAAAATTCTCTGCAATAATAGTGTGTGAGCTTGTGTGTCTTTTAGTTTTCTTTATAATTTTTGTTTGCCTCTATTATGAGAGGCTAAAAGGTTTTCTCCTCCCTTAAGGAGATTACTTATGTAATAAAATCATTTTGAGTTCTTAATAAAAAAAAGTGGCTTTTGCTTCACAACATGTTGTCGTAATTTTCATCTATCTCCATAATTAAGTATCTGTACGCCTGGAGTAGGAAACGAACCAAGGCTGTGCTGAGTGGTATCTGAAGGAGTCGGATAACTTGTAGTTCATCTTCCCATTGGTGAAGTTAGACGGTGGGGAGCCGTCCGTGAAAGGAACTAGGGGCACTAATTTTCCGACTGGTGGAATTGCAACCCATCTCACCCGGAACCATTTTGGTCAAAAAAGGTACGAAAATTATGGAGTTATTTAATTTTACGGAAGCATGTTGGGCCTGGTTGTTCATTTTATTGTGGGAACTCTTTAAGTGAAAAATTTAGGTACAAAAGGCTTGGTACTACGTATTAATAAAGTTGGTACTATTCTCTTATTAAAGTGGTACGATTCCAAAATAAACTGGTACTAATTTTCTGGACTTAAATAAAGATAGGGGTATTGTGGGAATACTAAAAGGGTTATTATTTTATTGCAAGTGGGAGGGAGTAAAGTGGAAGAAAATTAGAAGAAGAGACTGAACTGGAAATTGAAAAGGGGTCTAGGTACTTTCATAGAATTTGTCCTAATTTAAAATCAAAAAGTTATCCCACACCTTATCACACATAACAAACACATTACTAAATTTATCCCAACAGTGCAGTACCTCATATTTGCACTAAAACAAACAGGGGCTACGGGTTTTAAAATATTTCATTGTTTAAATATCGTTGCAGAAATATATCACAATGTCGTGCACAATAGCATGAAACAACGCAAAATAACGTAAAAAACATGTCATTTCATCATTTCGCGTATGTTTTTCGAGAGATAGGCTAAATACAACATCGCGTTTTCGGAAAAGAAAAGAAAAGAAAAAAAAAAAAAAA